CCAACGGCCGGACTTCGGTGGTCAGGGCGGCTTCCCGGGTGACAGTTCCGGCTTCAATGTACCCCAGAGTTTCGGCTCTGGGCGTCCTGGGTCCAGTTCTTTTGGCTCAGGTGGCTTTGGATCACCTGGGTCACCAAGTTCTGGCTTTGGCTCTACAGGGTCACCAAGCTCTAGCTTTGGCTCACCTGGGGCCCCTGGTTCTAGCTTTGGTTCACCTGGGTCCCCCAGTTCTAGCTTTGGTTCACCTGGGTCCCCCAGTTCTAGCTTTGGTTCACCTGGGTCCCCCAGTTCTAGCTTTGGCTCACCTGGGTCCCCCAGTTCTAGCTTTGGCTCACCTGGGTCCCCTGGTTCTAGTTTTGGCTCATCTGTTTCCCCCGGTTCTAGCTTCGGCTCACCTGGGTCTCCAAGTTCTAGCTTCGGCTCATCTGGTTCTTCAGGGTCCTCTAGCTTTGGCTCACCTGGGTCTCCAAGTTCTAGCTTCGGCTCATCTGGTTCTTCAGGGTCCTCTAGCTTTGACTCACCAGGTTCTCCAGGTTCTAGCTTCGGTTCAAATGGGTATCCAGGTTCTAGCTTCGGCTCATCTGGGTCTTCAGGTTCTTCTGGCTTCGGTTCGTCTGGTTCACCTGGATCTTCTGGCTTTGACTCCTCTGGGTCTTCTAGTTTCGGATCGTCTGGGTCATCAGGATCGTCCGGCTTCGGGTCCAGTGGATTGTCAAGCTTCAGCTTCGGTTCCTCGAGCACTGGCTCTGCCTCCAGCGGGACCTCGAGCAGTTCCGGCGGTTTTTCAGGAGGAATTTCTTCGGACTTTGGGAACAACCTCAACGGAAGAGGCACTGGGTCTCTGGTCAAGAAATCCACAAAGGAAGGAGCGACCTCGGCTGTAACCTCGGATAAAGACGCTTCCAAAACCTCTTAAGTCGCCTGTTTAATAAGTGATGACTTAGTGCTTCGTCTCTATTCTTCTGTTTAAGATGCATATGCAGATTCCTTGTGACAGGGAATTCTGTTCTTTTAGAGACTTGTAATTTGCAAAACTATATATCTGTGATCTTAATAGGGAGTTAGATACTATTCAGGTTTTATAATGGTCTTATTTTTTATCTCGACTCCCACTCTGTATATCGTTAATGATACTCTTTTAAATAAACCTTATCTCGAACAAGGCTCGCAACCTACCTACGTATGTATAGTGACAGGTCTTTATTTCACACGGCCAAGTTTTTTTTCTTCTGTGTAACTGAAACATACACATTATACACAAGTATATATATATATATATATATATATATATATATATATATATATATATATATATATATATATATATGTCTAAACACACTCACATCAACATATTTACCCTTCATATAGCTCAATGGATGGATGCAATTAAAAGTAATTTTCTGCGCTCTGAGTCTGCAGGAGTTCGGGCTCTCCTTTCCTATTTTCCAAACTGACTGTGAAATGCTTATGTACCTAGTGAACTTGTGACTCATGTTTAGGTACCACTATGTAATAAAACATACATTTGGTATTGTATTTTCTTAAAGGTTCCTATAACTATGACGAAGATTCAAACGATTGTAAGTAGACGTGATTGTATAAGTATATTCACACAAGTACTTCTACATACGTATACATAAGCATATCTGAATATATAAATGCATATGTATACACATATATACAAATATACACATATACATATATGAACCGTATTCATGTTGACAAATGTAGAAAAGGTATGAATGAGAATGAGTATCTTCACAATACAAGAGATGTATTTGACCGGTTTCGATTATATCTTCGTCAGAAATACGATTTCTGACGAAGATTTAATCGAAACCGGTCAAATACATCTCTTGTATTGTGAAGATACTCATTCTCACTCATACCTTTTCTACATTTACATATACATAAATGTATTTATACATATATACGTGTGTATATAAATGTATATATACATATATGCGTGTGTATATAAATGTATATATACATATATGCGTGTGTATATAAATATATATATACATATATATGCCTATACATATATATATGTGTGTATAAATGCACATACATGTTTATATACATATATGTATACCGGTGTATATGTATATATATACACTTACATATATATATATATATATATATATATATATATATATATATATATATATATATATATATATATATATATATATATATATATATATATATATATATATATATATACATATATATATATATATATATATATATATATATATATATATATATATATATATATATATACATATATATGTGTGTGTGTGTATATATTCATATATATATATATGTGTGTATATATATATATGTATATATGCATATATATACCTATATATGCATATGTACACATGCATATATGCATATATATTTACATATATATATAAATATATATATACATACACACACACACACACACACACACACATATATATATATATATATATATATATATATATATATATATATATATATATATATATATATATATATATCATATATAAGACCTTTTTTGTAGCACCCCGAAACCCCTAATACTTTCATACATTGTTTCAAGTTGTATAATAGTCGTTACAAAACATGATATCTTCGAAGTTTGTACTGACTACAAAGTTTTGAGAAAATAAGTTTTTTTCACATGAAGAAGTCAATAGGAAACCATTAAAGTACTTGATATGCTGGTATGACTTTTTAAATTACGAGCAAAACATAGTGGAAGCTTCAAATAAAATGAAAAAAGGACCTGATTACTCAGCAATGTATAGTATTGTTTTTACATCCCACTCCCCGCTTCGCAAGGCCGTGAAAAGTTAAAATGTATTTCTCAGATTCAGTCAAAATATTATTTTCTTATTACATATACTGTACTGCAAAAGAAGTGCGGAAGTTGCATAAGGTTTTGGATCTCTTCGTATCCACCGCGAGTGAGTACCGTGTCCAAGTCAGACAATTGGGAATTCCAATGATCACGGATATATACTGGATTTATTGATTGAAATATATCAAAGTCAGGATATACAGCATTTTCTTGTATGTTTTTGAGCCTGTGAGGTTATATCATAGAGCTACAGAATGATTTTGAAGATATTCATCCCAGGCGAAGTCAATACCATATATATGACTCGGACACGTTGGAAATTCTTACCATGTCGTTCCAGGGACCGTCATGATTGACTTCAAATCTTACGTGTATTCAGTGAACATGTGTTTCATGTATTCTTAAAAAGGCACAGAAACATTTTATGCACATTTGCAAAAAATGAAGTAATGATAAATAAAAATAAAAAGAATAAAAAATAATAGTTTTATCTAGAAACTTACGATGCGATTCGTAATTATTGAAGTAGAGAAGGAAAAGGAAAGGAGAAGAAAAGACTATTTAAAATTAGTTGAGGCGAGGGCTGAGGGCCAAGATTGGGGTGAACCCCTCCATTGGGCCTGAGTTCCTGTCTCTCAAGCTCCCCCACGACAAGAAGAAGCTAGGAATTGGGGAGTAAGCTCGCAATAACAACCGGCAATGATTGAGAGTATGATCGTAGGGAGTACTGTGCGAGGATTCGTAGTGGGCCGCTCGTTACGTCCCCTACGGTTCACTTCATGCGCCTTTCGTCTCCCCCCTTACGAGATGGTTAATGGTTAATGGTTAATGGTTATAAAGCAAGATAAATGTGCTAGACATCTAAGGTCATGTAGCACTATAGTTAATGTTAGTGAAAGGTGGTTGAGTTACTGATTAGTTGTCTAAGCTGGGCAAAGGAATTGGTGAGTGAAAGGGTTAAGGTCGGGTGTGGTAAGGAGTTAGATTAGATGAAGGACATGTGTGCGTTTGAGGAAGGAGAACAGGTTGTTGAGGCAGAAAGTGGGGGATTCTGTAAGGATGTCCCCCTTACGAGATAAAGGACGGCGTCCACCCTCGCTCCACAGAGGAGGTCGCATCTTCGAACGCCTCCTAGGTCGCCCATAAGCCCTGTTTTTATCCTCCGGGAGTGAGGATGCCCGGCCCGGTGAGGAAGCTGAGACTAATAAAAAACGGAAAGCCCAGCTGGATGTCTCACCTGCTCCGTTACGTTTTTTTTATTTGTTTTAGTGTATATTAATCAAACGTTTTTATGTGGTGTTTTAGATGTGCCTTTGCCGGAAAAATAGACCACCAGAAAAATAAATAAATAAATAAGTAAATAAATTATCTGAACTGTATTATGAATATAATACAGCTGACTGAACATGTTATGAACATGTTTTATTATATGATATAATTTAAACATATTTTAATGATTATAGTAAGAATATATGGCAATGATTATATACAGTTTTTGCAAGTGTTAAACAGTAATGAGAATCAAAACCGGCCCTTCAAGCAGGGTCCAGTACTACTTGTTGGTTGTGGTGCATAGGATAAGGAGGTCTCGGCAATATAGAGATAAGTAATGAAGTTGTATTATATGTGAGAGAAGGTAGTTTTCTATTTCAGTGTTTTTACTTCGTTTTTTTTTCACTGTGTTTTATGTCTGTTTTGTCTTTGTCTTGTGTTTTAGTGTTTGTTTTGCTGTGCTTGTTTTGTTTTATGTTCTGTTTTATCTTTGCTTTTACAAAATATATAATTTTATAATACTTTTTTTTGATAAGTCCCCGACTGTTTGTAAAAAGGGAGACTGAAAGAACACCAAAACATATTTTAGTATTAAAGTTTAAAAGGGCAATCTAAAACCCTAAAGTATAGATGAAGTATCCGTACACGCCCCTCCTCGGGATTCTAACCTCGCCTACCTCACACTCACGCTCACACTCTCACACACTCACACACACACACACACACTCACACTCATACTCACACTCCTGTCGCTCCTTTCCCCAATTCTTCTAACACCCTCGTCCTCTCTTACACCATACATTCATTCCCGAACGGACCAATCGGATGGTGGCAGTGAGCTATTTACACCTTTTGATGAGCCTGGGCACGTTGTAAATGAGAAAACAGATTAACATCGGTTTATCGCAAAATCCCACATCACTGAAGGTCCAAATAGAATCATGCTCTCATTCTCTCATCATTATTTTGAAATGTATTTGGGGTGTTGGGAGGGCAGCACAGTGAGCTCTCTGCCAACCTGTCAACCAATGACACTTCTTTACTCTGGCCTAATCGCCTTGCTCTGCGTGGGTGTATGGAAGGTATAGAGTCAATTTCTCGGTCGGCTTTTTCCAGCCGATACACATGGATGACATTTCAAACTCATGCAGGAGTAATGGAAGACTCTGACTGAGGCTCATGCAAACAGGCCTTGGATTGAATCCCCCCCCCCAACCACATGCACTTGCAGAAACCAGTTTATTGCATGATAACTAAATGACCAAATCATAAAATGAATTTGCACATTTGTTTCCAGATATTTATTTTTTCATTAATTTAAGATGTTCTGCCTGCTTCTAGATAGTCTTCAGGCCAACGACTAGTACTTTTACTAGTACTACCAATGTTAGTACTTTTTGAAACCTACAAAATAGCTTTTAATTACCCCCTTACAAACATGCCTATAATACCATTTCATTATTAACATAGTACTGTATTTCTGCTTTTACTATTGCTGTAAAATACCAGCACCACTGTTATTACTGCTATGACTAGCATGTCTAATCAGACATTTTTTTCTGGTCAATTTATCTTCCCACACAGCTTCATTCTAAGTCAGAAACCCAGGGTAAGATCTAACACTGTTTACGATATGCAGCAACATTTAATAACATTCGACAAACACACAACCAAACAATTCGTTAAGTCTTGAGGGAAACTAATATTAACATTATGGTACATTTTGGCTGAATACAATAGAACCATCAGGAAGGAGCAAAAAGTACAATAAACTTACGTTATGAAACAAAATTCAAAATAACACTTTGATCCAAACCCTGGAAAGATTAACAAATATTGTGGAATTAGTGCTGGACGCAGTTCTGGCATGTTCTACTTACGGGTAATCACATTTGATAGGAATAGTCAATGTACACAAAGCCTGGAAGCAAGACGGCTTACTTCTACGTCTAGCTTCCATACTAAACAAGGACAGGTAATTTAAGAAATTCCGTCGTATCAACACTGCGGCCAAGATAAGCAACAAATCATACTTTCTCAATTTTTTCAAAACTTCTCTTCATCTACGATCTGTACGGACATGATGGAACACGCATAACTAATAGAAAACAAATGTAAAGGTCCACAATATATCAAGACAAGAACATCCTTGCCTATAACGTTACTTAAGGGCAGTGAAGTATCATACTACCATGCCATTCATTGATAAACAATCCTAAAGGACAAGACAGTATTCACACATCCGTGAATCGATGCTAATGCTGGAGTATTAACACAATATTTTCAGCCTATATACAGTAACATTAAATATATACAAATTAAACCAACAATTTGTACACTCTCTCTACATTAATAACAATCGAATATTTTTCTCCTTCACTAACAGTGCATGTATAAAAATCCATA